CTTTGGAAGTTTCAGCCTCAGTGCACCCTTTCCCCCATATCCCAGTTACTCATTGAACACATGTTCACCCAGCCTCTGCTCTGTGCCATGTGGCGTGCTAAGCTGGGGATGTAGCAGGGGGTCAGATTTGTTGCCCCACAGGATTCATCTGGAACAATGATTCTCAATGGAGTCGATTTGGCACCTCTGCTCAACCAAGGAAACATTAGGCAGTGTCTGGAGACATTTTTGGTGTCAAGACTGGAGCAGGGGAGGGAGGTTACCATAGGCCTCTAGTAGATAAAGTCCAGGGATGCTGTTCAGCACCCTACAATGCCCAAAACTCCGCTTCCAACAGAAGCTATTCAGTGCAAGCTATCAGTAGTACCACTGTTGAGAAACCCTAGAACAGAGGTGACAAGTGCAGCTCCATCTTTGGTTTTGGCCAAGCCCTGCAGCATGGCCCCCAAAGGTCCTGCTAGGATCAGAACTGATTTGGACAGTGGGCAGTTATTAAGGGCTACATGGTGAGTAAGATAATTCTTAAGAGTTACATGGAGGGTCTATGCAAGAGAAAAAAACTCAAGTGGTTTGCAAACTGTTCATTATGCTCCTCCCTCTTAAGCCTCAATTTCATCAGAATTCAACTAATAGATAAGAGCCTCTGACTGGCTTTCAACCTCGGACAGCTTACTTTATTTAGTCAATAAATCTTTACTCATTTTAGTTTATAGTGTCCACTCCACTGGCCACACCACAAGGGTCATTCATCAAGAGGTAAGAAAACCTTCCCCCACTTCACCTCCCCCCAAAAAAATCAAGTGAAATAGTCTGGGTCTTTCTTGGGTGGTGAGGGGGCCGGTTGATGTGATTTTTTTGGTGAAACTAGTTTAAAATGAGATGAAGTCCAGCAGCGTGTTGAGAAATGAGAATCTCAGCTCTAGGTCTGGACTCCATTTTTAAGCTCCCAGGGTCCTAAAGCCCACGTGGATCCCCAGCATCAATGACAAAATGCTCCAGGACCCATTGGTCAGTTTAGGTAAAATCCAGGCTAAGTGGTTCCCATATGGAAGAGTTTCTGTCTCTGTCTCACAGTTGCCTGAAGGCAGGAGGAGGGCGCAGGGCAAATGGAGTCAAAAGAAGAGGAGAAATCCGGGGACCAATTTTTCAAAAAGTATTGTTGTTCTGCCCATCCCCTGGTCCCAGTGAGTCTCCATTTTGTCTGGACAGTAGAATCTTCTGGGGACAATTGGTCTTACTGCTAGCGACCCTGGATTCCCTCATGGCTGCTAGTTCTGGTCTGAGACAAGCTGGGAAGCTGGGTCTCTGGGCCACTGTGGAAGGTGGGGCTGTGGGGTGCGTGAGGCCTACCCGGTCCCTCGCCAGCTGGGGACAGCTCCTCGATTTCTTCATCTATGACCTGGGGGTGAACATTTGACCTTCTTCATGGAGTTATTTGGAAGAATACAGAAAGAGATGATACACATACCACTTCACAGGGTGCAAAAAGAAAATGACTTCATTTTCCCATCACTCTGCCTGTGAACCTGGGAGCTAATTGCTGAGGGCGATTTCTTTTCCAAACCCTGGGTGAAAGCTCTGGACTCCTGTAACTTTTCTGATCATTTTCTTTCTTTTTTTTGGGGGGGGAGTGGTTTTTGTTATAGGGTGCATGCACTCGCCAGAGACAAAGAGAGACAGACAGAAAGCAAGAAATCACCCTCAAGGGGGGATGGCCATGCCACAATCCCTTCTTCTCCATTCTTCTCTCAGGATCTGGGCACGCACACACACACGCCAGGTGTGAGTTTAAGCCACCAGGTCCGGGACTCGAACCGTGGTCAACTACATGGGAGTCCAGCGACGTAGCCATTATGCTAACTGCTGGTCTCTCTGGTCACTTTCATATAATAAAAATCCTCCAGACAATATCAGTGCAATAATACCTTGGTTTAGCTCTGCACACTGCAGTACTAGTGTAATAGGCCACCCTCCTAGTTCACCTGCAGGTGAGACTCCTTCCCTCCTCTGGCTTGGGCAGTTCCGGGCTGGGATGCCTGCAGTAGTGGGGATGTGGGGAAGTGGGTCGGCTCCTGGAGGGGAGGATGGAAGGGCAAGAAGGTTCTTAGTTGACTGACAAGAAGCCATTCATCACACTCCTGGGTACTCCCGACGTACTCTGCTGGCCCTAACAGAGGTGAGTTGCCTGGATTCTTGGGGCTTTCTGGTCTCCAGTTGGTTGGTCAGAGGGACCGTGGCTCTCTTCCAGCTGGCTGAATGAGGATCTCTCTCGGCCCCTGGCCCAGACCTCAGCTGTGGTCACATGTCAGTCATCTAGAGCAAGCTTCCTCCTGTGCACCCCAGTCAGACACCAGGGACCTTGCCCTGTCAGGGCGGCCCTGTCCTCTGCCCCTCTCCTCTGTGGCTTTATCAGACCTCGACTTCCCTTCAGCTCTTCCCCTCTCAGGATCCGAGTTCTCTGAGTGACTCCATGAACCCCCTAAGCTTAGCTTAAGAGAAGACAAAGCACCCCATCCCCAGTGAGTGGGCCCCACCCACATGACCCAGTACCTCATTTAGTCCAGGGCAGGGCCTTGGCACCTACTGTTCATTCTCAGCTTCAGAAGTCTCAGCAGACATGGAGACAGAAAGAAACTCATTTCACATCTCATTACAGAATTCCACATGTGGTCATTTTCCTTCTCTGACAAACTACAACGAGACTTCAAAAAATTTTAAAAAGTAAGAAATGTGTATTACAAAGAAAAAGATGCATGGATTTCAAAATTTGGGGGCACCCAGTGAACTCGAACCTTAATTCCATTTTTCCTTGGAGTTTTTGAAGTACCCTTGTATAGGTAGAGCAAGTTTCTCCAGGGGCCCTAAGGTGATTGTCCCTTTGCCTTGTGGGAAGGGGACCCTTGGTGGCCCCTGTGGGCTTTGAATTCCCTGGGCTTGAGAGGAGGCTGTGCTGCTCCTCGCTTATGTGTAGGAAAGAACAGAAGGATCGTCAGGGAGTCTCTGAGGCCACAGATGGGGGGTCCTGGGGAGAAGCCGAGCCAGGCAGGGCACAGACAGCACAGACGTGAGACAGCACACCTAGCCCCTGCGGCCAGCGCTCCACTCTGGGAGGCTGCCTTCTCCTCGCACTTCACCAGAAGAGGGAGTCCAAGCCTCACGCATCCCCAAAGAGCGGCTCTGGGATTCCCCTCAAGAATTCAGAGCTGTGTTGGAGAAGGAAGAGGGACTGGAAAGAGAAACTTTCCTCTTTGGGAAACTGGATTCTGGGGTGAGGGGTAGAGAGAGAACTGGGCTTCCAGTGCACTTCCTCTTGCACTCTGCCCAGAGCCCCTGGAGTTGCCAACAGAGGGACGAGAGAAAGAGATTGAGAGAGAGAGAGAGAGAAAAAGAGAGAGAGAGAGAGGCCTCTCACCGGCCCAGGGGCCCTGGCGCTGCCTGCCCTGCCCTTGGTGAGGACAGAGGACCCCTTAGGGCTCTCTTGGCTGCTCTGTGCTTATGGGGACTGGAGGCAAAGCTCTGTCCCAGTGGCTTTGGGTGAGCATGGAGGCCGTGTCAAAGCACTCCTAGAGGAAGAAAACCCCTCCCTCTCTGGCAGGCTGTGGCCAGGAGAATCCCACACTGGGAGTGCTGTCCGTGTGGAGCTCTGACTTTTAGGCCTGGACACAGATGAAGCTTCATTATCTTTGGCATCTTGCTGTGCAGGGTTTATCAGCTCCTCTGTGGAGGAGGTGAGGGCTGAGTGCTGTGACATCCAGAGAGGCCAGGATGGGGATAGGGGGATAAAGGGATCAAAAAACAAGCTCTCCAACCTCTCAGCTGACAGAAGGGACCTGTGTCTGGCCAGAAGACAAGACATTGAAAGAGGGGCAGCCACCTTTTCTTCTGAGAAGAACAGAAGAGAGTACCCACAGGCCACTGTGAGGAGGGCAGCTGAGTGGGCTTGGGTACAGTGCAGTCCACCTTGGCATCAGCTGTGTCCAGGGAGAAGAGCGAGGCTGCCTGGACGTAGAGAGGGGTGCATGTGTGTGCACATGTGTGAGCACCCAGGGCCACATGTGCACATGCTGGTTGGCGTGTGCTCTGTGCATCTGTGTGACACGTGCCTGGCGTGCTGT